GAAAACCGAAACCAGATCAGGTCACGAGAAAGGTTTGTTCCGAGGCGTTTATTTGACACCTGTTCGTCGACTCTGATCGGAGATTGTTGATAAACCTATAAGCCTTTCGCTCATAATTTAGCATATTGTTTCTGCTATCTGTCATTTTAGAACTTTAACGATCGTATGTGATGTTTTTTCTACCCCTCAAATCTTTCCTTTTTTCCGATAATTTAACCTAGATCGACTGTTTATGAGCACGTTTTCCTATATTTTCATTAAAGAAAACCCATTTTACAAATAAAATTACAAAAATACTGACGGCTAGAACGGATTAATTGTATTGCATTAATTTCTATTGGAAAAATTGCTTCGGTTAACGAACGGACTCGTGGAATGGATTACGTTCGTTAACCGGGGTTCCACTGTATAAAATTACTTGTCCTGACTGACTGAGTCATTGATTTGTCATCGCCCAGAGCAAACCGCTGAACCTAGAGGTGAAATTTGGTACACAGTTAGGGTACTGTACAGACGATACTAAACTCAATTTACCCGCCTAAACTGTCCGTAACGTGGCGCTTGACGGCGGATTTATCGTTTAGTAGTTCGGGTTCCCGATGACGTTTTACGTAATTATAGGAGTTTTTTTTACCGTTGTTTACGGATACCGCCACAATTTTTTCCCCGTCTTATAAGAGTCGTAATTATAGGAACCCGTCTTATAGGGAAATCTACTGTATATTGCAAATTAATTTACAAGTCAGTGACTAAAAATTTTATGTTCCGTATAATTTTTACTTTTGACGAGTTCTCGATTCAAAGATGGTTTACTTTATTCTACGAGCGTGTTACTCCCCGGTCAAACTTTTAAAACGCTTTTGGAAACTTCGCAATGAAATCAAAATGTCTTTAGAAATGAAACGAGTCAGAACTTCTTGTTGAGAATAAAAACTTGTTGCAGGATTTAGTCTTTATTACATACTACGTGGCATTAAATTTAGTCTTCGAGATCGAAATTTACTTACCACATTTCCTTAGAACTCCATTAAAACTTGGATTAAAAAACTGCAAAATTGTGATTTAGTTCATTTTTCTATTTGCAAAGTTAAAAGAAAAAGCGAAATTTCCAAACGGAAGCGATTAAACCCAGAGCAACTGTGCAAAAAGTATAATGAACTTGTCATTCCCCGCACTGGCCAGAACATTTATTGAAATTCGAATGCTGGCAGCAATATTGGCAATGTTCGATAGTACGTAACTGTAAACAAATACTTCCCATTTTAAAGACTAATAAGTTCAAGTGGGGCGAGATTAATACATATGTTAAATGCATATTTGTTAAACACTGCAAAAAATGATACTCGATGTTGATAAATTCGTTTCTGCCAGATACTAAGTTTCTAGTAAAAAGTATTAACAAAATTATTCCCAAAGAACGAAAGAAAGAAATAAGAAGCAACCAATTAAAAAATATTAATTTTTTACTTTCTCTAATTTAAATTTTGTTGCGGCATTTAATGCGTAGAAATTACATATTTGTACTTTTTTTAAAAATTCATTAAAGAAAAAATAAATGTAAAATTTAATTATTATTTTCGAATATATACAAAAGACCTATTTTATCTAAAACCGTATTTGGTAAGCAGCGGTCTCATTGACACTAATGTATCGCGCTATAGAAGTCGAACTTCTCGTTGTTTCAGATAGATCTGCGTATTGTTTTTAATTAAGAAAATCAAACCATTCTATATACATTTTCATTTATTAGCAGTTTGCTTATTAATAGATATTACTTTTCCACAAATTTTGAAACCGAGGCCTTCTGTTTTGTTTTGACAGAATTTCAAACGATTTTTACAAAAGAATTTCCCAATCATTAAACCAAGAAGAAAACAAAATTAAGTAAAATAACCCATAAAATATATAAATATATATTTTTTTGGTTAAAAACACATTCCTTTGAAAATTTTGGAAGGACGTTGCAATCGTTTTAATACAGGTAGCGTACATTTTCATAAATAAAACGAATTCAATTATAAACAAACTAAAAAAACGAAAGAACTAATGTACATGGCTGGAAGAGAGATCTCTCGAAAAAAGGCGGCGTCGACTTTTATACAATGTGAACCGTCGAGTTCACCGGATTGTCCACCTACCCCTGTACAATAGATGGAATGACAACCAGAAGAGTCACATTATATATTTTACATTATGGGTTCCGCATGCGCGAACGGCGGGAAAAATTTGACAGACTTCGAAACGGAAGTGATTAAAAAAGATTCCATAAACCGCACCGTACAGGTGTATGCATTTAACTATTTTTTTTCTTTTCTTTATGCTATAATCGTGCTTATGTTTTGTGTTGGCTAATTTTGCAAAATCTTTTAAAGAAAACAAAAATTATATTGTCCATATACCAATAGTAGTGTAGTAAATGCTCGCGTTTTAACTTTACACTGAATTTGTTTTTTATCTACACGACACTAAATCATTGTATCGTAGAATGTTATGTTTAGTCCAACATTAGAAATATTTATAAAATGAAAAATTAATTCATCCATCGGTGTCGGTTTCAATTATATTCTCGATGTTGACAGAGCGCTAATGCCACCACAACAGTTTTCGTGATTACAGAAATTTCCAACACTTGTTACTAATATAAGTAGCAAAAGTCGACCGATGGTCGTGTGGAACAAAATAGAGTTACTTTGTCGATCCTCACGTTTACTCCGCCAACCAATTGGATTCGCTATTTTTGTATCCCACACAGTCGCTGGTGTCACGTTCATAGAAATTTTGATGTTAATACAAAGGCAACCATTAAAACACAGCCGATGGGTGCCCGAATTGTTTCATACAAATTACGTGTAACTGTGATGAAAAAATAGTCTAACGATGACTATTTTATCATGCAAGATAACTGTATGTATCCTTTTGTCCTTCAGTCCTCTCCAAATACTCCTTTTCAATCAATATATCGATACATTTCTGGGAAGGAATAAAAATAAAATGTGTCAAAAATATATTTTTCAATTATATTCGGGTAGTTTACTCGACGTTTCGTTTTAAATTTCTCCTCACCTTAATAACCGGTACTCTTGGTTTAAATCTCGACGACAACTGATTTAATACTTCCGCTAATAGCTGCTGATGCTTAAGCACTTTTCTCATTTTCATAATCCGAACAATAGCTGCCTGAAAGGAACAAATTTCGTAAAATTAATAGTATTTTATCAATTATATACTGAACTGTATATGCTAATAAAATTAAACTTAAATAGTAAATAAAGATAAATATTTTATTCCACCAAGTACTTAGGTCCTTCATTTTTTTGTAAGTTTTTGAAATTGTTATATAATTTATTTAGTAAACTATTTCAATAAACACTTTCAAACTTTCAGTTTCGTGATCATCAAAATTTTGAATATTACAAATGCTTAGTTGTTGTTAAGATAAATGATGGCATCACAAGACTTTCTTTATAACTATGTGGTGGTATTTCCATTTGAATAATGACAAAATGTATAATAGTCAGTGTATGTGAAAAACAAATTAGATTATTATGTAGATGACTAAACTACATAATAAGTAGGTAGTTTTCATTTGATTTGTTAACTTTTTTTGATCTCTTAAAAAAATAACTTAGTTATATTACTTTTCCTTTGATCTTTTACATAAATAAGCAAAAATTGCACTTTCTCGAACTTGAAATGCATGTTTGGCATTAATAAAAGTTACCAAAATGCTTATTTTACTGTGTTTTTGTTATTTCTTACTCTTTTTTTTAGGTATTTGGTATTCGGCCAAATACCGAATAGTAACCGAATATTCATTGCATCATTAATTAATATCTTTCTTCCAATTTGAAACAGTGTCTTTTGTCTATATTGATCCTTATTACACAATGAAGGAATTAATATAAAAGAAATATGAATATAGTTTGCTGAAATTATTGGTAATAGTTTGACAAATTAATGCAAGAAATAATTCTGTGTGTTAATTCGTAATCTTTAGAAAAATAGTTGTCAAAAACCACATTTAAGTATACCCAAAGCCATTTATTCTCTCTCACTACTCTGTTATTTATCCATCCTGTGTAAACTGTAAGATACAGTACTGTGTAATTAAAGCAAGGCACAGAGAACAAGCAAAAAGTAATAAACTATTTAATCATTAATACATAGGCTGTTGTTTTCAACCTCCAATGGTCCATAAAACAAAGACAAATGTAAATAAGAAAATGATTTATTTCCAAAAGTTAGGTACAAACATGTTTACTTTTCGACATAATCATCGTGAAGATTGAGGCACTGACATATCTGTGGACGAGCTATGCAATGTCCTCTTCATAGAATGTTTCCGCCAGGGACTTGAGATGGGCCTTAACCTTGTTTTGAAGCTTGATTTTCAGTTGATAATGAAATATCAACATTAGAAGATATATCTGCAGACAACACACAATTGTGAGGACCGCACTTACGGGAAACCTTTATTATAAAATCGGTATAAATTGTAACATTTTTTGTTGTTCGTAACAAGATAATTTTCCATTTTGAAAAAATTACTAATCAAGCTAGTGATTAAGATGTTTTCCACAGACTTAGTTCCTTGTGTAAGGTGACACCTCATATGCGTCACTCAGAAGTAACGAGTGAAACTCGATCATCGGGCCCAAAGTGCTAAAACTCCGGGTAGATTCATGGGAAAAACCCAGGAGACACCCCCTTATAAACAGGAGGGGACAATAATGACAAAGGCTTTTTCCTGTCAGCAAGTGAACTTTTATGTGTAAAAGTGTGTGCGTCCCACCTTTGCCACTTCTTCACTCTTCTTAGCACCAGAAGTTAACCAAACTTGAATTAGTACCTGAAATTAACTAAATCCTGAACCTCTTTGGACAGGCCTTAGGACGAACCTACATCAAGGAGCTACTCAGGTATTTGTCACTGCACAAAAGTTTTGTAAGCTCTCTCTCTGTCCTGATATGATAAGCTTCCCCCCTTGATGGTTACTCAAGTTAGTGAGAAAGCTAGCTCCTCAGTCTTAAATCCTGTAAATAATCTCTCTGAATAAATGGATATAATTTGTTAAATGAATAGCCTTTGGGAGTGTACTTCTTCCAGGTTTCTCCCCCGTCTCCATTTCAACCGAGCCTCCAGACACAACTGCTCGAGCAAACAAGATGGAAATTGTGAACCTAATGGTCTCTGTGTCTACCCAGAAGATACAGTGATGTCAGTCCTGAAGAATTTCTCATTGCGGTCTTTGCTGATGTAATGTCGCCCCTTTGGTCCCGTGGTGCCGAAGCATAGGGCACCACCCTTCAGCATTGTCACACAATCAAGTACAATAACATACCCTGTTTATAACATATGACTTTAAAGTTATTCCAAGATTTATTTTGCTATTAACATCCAACTTAAATTTATTAAATATTACTTTAAAAAATACTTTTAAGTTTATTGTCTTACTTGTAACAGCAAAATTACAAAATTCTGCTAATTGCAGATAACTGTCCCGCACATAGTGAGACAAAATTGTTAAACATTGAAATTAGCTTCCAGTCACCAAATTGCACCGTGACGTCGCAATCACTGGATTAAGGAATCGTATAAAATTTCAAAGTTCCCTATTGTTGTCACATGCTACAGCAAATAGTTGCAAAAATCACAAGCTGATATGCTCAAACTAAGATTTTTAGGTGGCACCATTGGTACTGTATATGCCTGAAAGCAGACGTCTAAAGAAATTATCTTATTTCTTTATCAATATTGCTGATTGAAAGCCATATCAACATTAAAAGAACAAAATGTTGCTTCACTAATTCAGTTATACCCAATACTAATCTCAAAAAATTGTGGAAACCAGTCAAAAATATTTTAATTTACAGACAATGCTGGAAGGGTTTTTAACTGCTGATAATATTGTTGATACTAACAATAAACAGTTAATGTTTCTTCAACAGACAACTGTGAAAATGACAATGACACAGTAGGCTGAAGTTGAGATTTCACCTGTAACAACAACAGAGAAATTTGCTATCCTAGAACATCTTGGAAAATATTTCATAAGCACTGGAAAAATGCAAACAGTACAGTACATCTCTCAGCATTGAGAAGGGTTCTCTGTAAACAATGTGTTACAAATACAATAAAAAAATAAATAACTTTTTAATTTTTATTTAAGATTTTTTTTAAGACATTGCTTAAAACATATTCTTTAGTGTTTCCTCATTAGATTATCATCATCATGCTTGACTGTAATTAAAATGATCAACTCTACTAGTTCAGATTCAAAAGACCAAGACAGCAGTAAAGATGAGTCCCTACCTACCCAAATATAAACTGAGAATAGCATGAAAAAGTCACAAAATTTCTGGAAAAACATTGTCACAACAGTGATATGATTCAATATGTAATTGCTTTAGACTTCTTAATTAGAAAAACTGCAAGAAAAAGAGGCAGAAGAAATTCATTCATGAATTTTTTAAGCAACAGAATTAAAAGATACAGTATTATATATTCAAGTGTACTGCACCGTAGCTACAATGCATCGTATGTAGAACATCAATGATGAGTGACTCTAATATCAGTAAATGTTTATTATGTTACAGTACATTAGTCGTGAATATTCCTATTGCATGTGTCCCATGACAATGTTTTAAACTATTTTAGAGTGTATTCAATTTGGTATCACCCTCGTTATAGCCCCAAAAATCCACATTAACAGATGAAGGTGCTAAAACAAAGGTTAAATGTAAAATTTTAAATGTACGTGTATATATACACAAAATTACATATAAAAAAATTAATTACTTGAATAAGAAGCTTCCTATCTTCTTCAATATGTTTGTGTGTTGTTTCTTGTTCAATTTTCATTTCAGTTTTCATTGGTACGTTAATATTTACTCTCAGTTTTTTATTTTTATAATTAAAAAACAAAGACACTACTGAACTTGGTTGCAATTCACCTTCATCATCCTCAGAAACAAGTAATTTAGATTTTAATAAAATCTGAATTACTTGAATTAAGATATCCTAGAAAAAAAAAGATATTTAAACATCTCAAATTTTAAAATATGTCTTATTCTTAATTACAAATTCTTACCATTTTAATCTGTGTGCTTTCTTGAAGTTGAGTAATTGTAAAATTATCACCGGTGTTATATTGTAATAATACAGCCATTTGAAATGTTGAAGCCTATTAAAAAAAAACGTTTGTATAAATTTGAACAAGTTTCCTTTTTCAAAAAGCACTGCTAAAAAATACAAGAAATTTTGCATTTGCTAATAAAATATAATATATTGGAGTATAGCTCATATTTTCATTAACAAGAGAGAGAGGAAAAAAAACCACCCAAATGTAAATTTAGGCAGTTTTTTTCAATTACTTCCTGTGAATTTTTCAAAACCTCAGAAGGTTTTTGAAAAATTCACAGGAAGTAATTGACCCCTGATAATAACCTTTAAAGGTGAACAAAAATATGTTCTTAGTGAATCACTATAATAAGTAATTTTTTATTACTTTTATTCAAATGAATAAGAGTTTCTACATGATACTAAAATTGTTAATTTTTCAAAACCTGGGAAAGTTTTGAATTCCATAATAAGAATAAATTTTGAAAAACATTGTAAAGTATTGGGTTGTTCAAAAAGTAATTTAGTTTTTTTTTACCACCAGAGGAATTAGTTATATTTTTACTCTCCAACTTCATTTTAAACTGTATTGTCATTACATATTTTGACAGTTGATATTTCAAGGCTTATTTATAAAAAATTTTGTTTGATTTGGTGCAATTGTTTTTTTGGTGTCACATCAAATGTGGAGAATCAAAAGCAGCATTTTTGGCATATTTTGTTTTTTTTATCATCAAAAAGGCAAAAATGCTCTTCAAGCAAGAAAAAAATTGTGCGCCATGTATGGAGATGATGTGCTGACAGAATGACAGTGCCAAAACCAGATCGCAAAATTTTGTTCCGGCAATTTCAATATTGAAGATGCGCCACATTCTGGAAGGCCAGTTGCAGCTGATGAAGACAAAATAAAAATATTGATTAAAATAAACCACCGAATAACAACATGAGAAATTGCTAAGAGATTAAATTTGTCAAATTCAACCATTTATGATCACTTGACTTGGTTTAGTTTCAAAGCTCGATATATGGGTTCCACATGTTCTTAAGATTTGCTCCAATGCATTGACACCTGTAATTTGCTTCTCAAACATCAAGAAAATGATCCACTTTTGAAGCAAATCATAACTGGCAACAAGAAATGGATTGTTTATAACAATGTCAAACACAAGCGATCATGGAGTAGAAGAGATGAGCCTGCTCAAAGCAGTTCGAAAGCAGATATTCGTAAAAACAAAAAAGTGATGCTCTCTGGTGGGATTTTAAGGAAATTGTTTTTTTCGAGCTTCTACCAGACAATTCCACAATTGATTCAAAAGTGTACTGCCGTCAACTGGAAAAATTGGATGATACCATCAAACAGAAAAGGACAGAATTGATCAACAGAAAAGGTATAGTGTTTCACCACGATAATGCCAAACCTCAAACAAGTTTGGTAACTTGTCAGAAACTGTTACAGCTTGGATGGGATGGGCAACCACACCCATATATTTGCTAGATCTGGCACCCTCAGATTATTACTTGTTCTGGTCTTTACAAAATTTTTTAAACAGTAAAACATTTACTTCAAATGAAGATGTCAAAAATCACTTGGATCAGTTTTCTGTAAGCAAAGATCAAAACTTTTATGAATGTGCAATCATGTTACTACCAGAAAGATTGCAACAGGTATTGGACAAAAAGGGTCAATATATAATTAATAGTGCAACAAATATTCAGCTACTATTCGGTATTCGGCCAAATACCAAATATGTAATCACTATTCAGCCGAATACTGAATACCTAAAAAAAAGAGTAAGAAATAACAAAAACACAGTAAATTAATCATTTTGGTAACTTTTATTAATGCCGAACATACATTTCAAGTTCGAGAAAGTGCAATTTTTTTCTTATTTATGTAAAAGATCAAAGGAAAAGTAATATTACTAAGTTATTTTATTAAGAGATCAAAAAAAGGTAACAAATCAAATGAAAACGACCTACTTATTATGTAGTTTAGTCATCTATATACTTGTATATAAAAGAACACATCCTGATAGGATAATTAACGCAGAGCCAAAACTACTGGTGCCAGAAACTTAAAAATTTGAGGGTGTGTTCCTTTTGCAAAGTTTAGGCGTTCTAAAAAAAATTTTTATGAAATTCAACCCTAAAGGGATGAAAAGGGTAAAAAACTTGTATGAAAATTTTTACTGCATGGGCACATTAGACTGAAACTTAGGTCATAAAATGTGAAAATAATAATAATTAATGATCTGTAAAGTGTTTTTATGAAATCATCCCATATTATAAACATGAAAATTAAATTAATTTTTTTGTTTCATTGTAGAAAATTATTTATCATAACTGAAGTTCCAGACAGCTTGGTAGCCTGAATGGCCCCAGGCTTTCGCCTGTGCACGCTAAGTGACTTTCATTACAAGCATTTAGCTTTCCAAAATCTACAAGAACAATTATTTGGTATTGACGGCAGCAAATTTTGTGCCAATAAGCTGCCTTGACTCGTTCGATTATGTTATCGACTCAATTTCATATTTATTTTCACATTTTCACTTCACAGTCCTTCTCTGTTCTTCTTCTGTTATTTACATATGAAGGTCATTTCATTGTTATCCACATTTGATATCATCACTTATCACATACTGCCATGATGCTCGTGTCTGTCTGCTACAACTGTCAAGAATTAACGCGATTGGCGAAGCTTAGTGACAGCGGGCCAATAGAGCGTGCAATCTTTCCCATAATGTGGTTTGCACACCAATTTTTGTACGTGCGTTAATCAAGTTGAATAGTTTGGCCGAATATTCAGCTATTTGGCCATGCTCCTGGCCAAATATACTATTCATTGCATCACTAAATATATAATTCAATAAATTATTTATATATTATAACAAAATTTTTTCTCCCCATAAAAAAACACAAAATTTTTTTCCAAACAACCAATAGGTCAAACTTATGCTATTATGTTTATTTGTTTAATTATGGCAATGCAACACTTGGGCGATCTACCTAGGGGGAATGCCTTCCGGGAGGTCTATTTAAGGAAACTGACCCCTATTTAGATGTTACAGATGTGGAGAAAACCTGGAAAACTCCACATAGCCAGCTCGTCCGAGTGAGACGCAAACCCACGATGGAACTCCCAGAGTTCAGAGAACAAAGACCACTTGGCCACTGGTGGGCCTATGCTTTTACATTTTTATCTTAAACTCTCTTTAAGAGAGTAATATTCCTTATAATATGTAGTAGTATTTTCTTTAACTAGTCTATTTCCCATCAATCAAAAATGTCAAGAGATCAATATAATTTATGCAAAATACACACACACATATATATATATACATTAAGGACAGCTGCCATTTTGTCAGTGTCATAAATGAAGGGGTAGTTTATCACAGTAGGAATATATATCCATTCCTACTGTGATAAACTACCCCTTCATTTATGACACTGACAAAATGGCAGCTGTCCTTAATGTATTTAAGGATGGATCTAATTCATCACAGGTCAGCCAGCAAGAGAGAAAAAATCAACCACTTGTGATAAATTATAATAGGAAACGAACAATTATTAATTGTGACCATCATAATGCCAGGCAGCAATTTATAATCATATTTTTAATTTATTTAATTTAAAATATATGGCTCTTCATCTGAAATTATTATTACAGTCTTGCCCCTGTACATCACACTTTTCCTTTAACAATAGAGTCGTGCCATTCATCTGTTAACTACTTTCAGAGGAAATTTTTGAATTGAATCATGCGACTTCTGGTTTGCATCGGACATTCATATAGAGTATATTGAAGCCTCTAGCCCCTAAGGTTTCCATACCTGGTCTTGGATTTTATCTAATTCCATTCTCGAGACTAAGGAAAGACAGACAAACAAACGACAGGGGGGGGTTTTCAAATTGCAGCCCAATGATAACTCTGTAGCAGTAGTAATGACTTACTGATTCAATATGCTGATATTGATAGGATTTTTAAAACTGATTCATAGCTCAAAAACAATAAGAACAAGGTATATTGCAAAATAATCATCATCAATTTTATTTGCCCTGTTTTGTCTTCTATCACTTACAACTTACAAATAGCATTTATTTGGAGCTGAAATGCAAGTTTATTTATATTGACTTTTTATAACTGATTTGTTGTACTATTTTTCAAGTTATAATAAATAATATATTTGATTAAAAAATATGATTAATTAATATTATATTTTTCTTGCTTGAATAATATAAAGAAGTGAATTCAGTCACACCATTTAAAAGCACATTCAATAAAAACATTATACTTTAAAAATATAATTAATAAATATGCTATATTCTTTAAAATAGGGCTTTATCAATACTAAGTTAAAAACATTCTTTTGACCTAAACAGGGAATTTTGAGAGCCACAACTTTCTCTGTAAAGTTCAGATTTTATAAATTAATGCTTTAAATATAAAACTCACCCGTTTAAATTTTAAATGATTACAATAAAATATTCTTCACTTGAAATTAAATCTATAATTAAGATTTATGAGATAAATTTTATTTGCATTTATAATGCAAATAAATATAGTTTTGATATGTAAAACAAACATCCAAATTATCAAGTATCACACTACTGTTGGGATCAGCAAATGGCAGACCATGGACCATGGTCCACATCTGGACTGAAAAACATTTTTTCTGGACCTCAGAGTATCAAAGGACCACGAGCAATGAGGATAGTGAGATCTTGGTTCACCAAGTTTGTGATGAAATTGAATTTAATACAGGGTTTGCAAATTTAAAAAAAAATTTGAAATTTTGTGCATGTTTTGACAGTTTCTCTCTTCATCCTAACAGTAAGTGGAGTAGGAAATATTTTCAAATGTAATAAACTGTCTTGAAGATGGAAATGATTGAATTTAAGGAGGATCTTTATTTAATGGGCAATTACACAAAGTTTTAAATAATCTTCAATGTAAACAATTCTAGATTAAGTAATGTGGGGACAGTAAATACCCAGTACTGAAAATATTACTCATAAAACTATGTACAGTGATTGATTCAACATATTTATGAGGAGCTGCATTCTCAAAGATAAAGCTCACAGAAAATAAGTTTAGATCACAACTTGTCGATATCTACTTCCATGACCTACTAAGAATCAGTTGCATGAACTCACTGAAAATTTTAAGTATTCCAAAATATGTCATTATAGTAAATGTGAACTTTCATAAAGTTGTACTATGCTTTGTTTATTATTATTTATAAAAAAAACAACATTAAACTAAAAAGGGGACCTATTCTGAGCTCTTCCGATAACTCAATGAGCGCGATGCACGGGACATTCGATAAGTCCCCTTAGCGAAAGGCAGTTAACGAACCTTAGACAAATCGTTATTCTGTCCACCACGCTAAATGGGTTTCGCTACGGGTAGTTGGACGAGATGTGTCTGGGTTCCATGCTATCAATAGCTGTTACCTTTAACCAATCACAGTGCAGTTAACATTGTATTTTTGTCACATGACCATAACCTGCTATTTTTTAAGCGAAGCACGTGGTTTTAGCATTGTCATGTACCAGCACTAGTGAAATCGTTTTGTTTTAAAATGTCGAAGAAAGGCCAATGAAGCCAGCGAACTACAAGTTGCCAGTTTGAGATGCTCGTTAATTTTATAGAAGACAACCCTAAGTTAATGTCAGGTAAATTAGACGCTTTCTTTACTGTAAAAGATCGCCAGAAATTGTGGCAAGAAAGATTCGACCGTCTGAATTCTGATGGAGTCGGCTCACAAAAAGACTCAGAAAAATGGCAAAAAGTAACTTAGAGCTTAAAATATAAATATATTACTATCATTTTAATTTATACATATGGGAATGAAACCTATTTCAGAAATAATGTTCACGCTATAGCTACTTACTTTATTCATACAAGCAATTACATTATTCATACAATTATTCAATCAAGAAAGCAATTACATTATTCATACAATATTCATAAATAGTTAAGGTAATTATTTTTAAGCAATACAACACCATAGTTTATTAACTCTCTCTCCAATTGCTCGTGAAGTAAAATTGTTCTTACACCAAAAGACGCCATATTGTTTACACTTTCGTTATGTTCCTAACGGCAGGTGGAGAGTGATTGATAACAAAAGCTTAGTTATTGCACGTGGCTATCGGAACTGAAAACAAAACGTACGGCTGAGAATAGCATTTTCACAGTTGATTAAACATGAATCACGTGGTTCTGATAGAAACTGGTTTTTATCATATTCATTAGCTTAACAATACTACTCAGAATAGGCCCCAAGGTGTTTTAAAAATTTGATATTTTATTTATCAGAAATTCATTTTTTTCAATACTGAAATAAAATAAAACCATTTTTTTAAAATTAGTCAGATTTTAATTAGTCCTTGTCATTGATAAAGTTACTGATCGCAGAGGTATGGCAACTTTTTCAAATGGACTTCTATCAAAAATAATTGGTGACCATGACTCTACAGCGTAACATTTGAACACTTTAAAAAATTATTGTGATATCCTGGAGACAAGGACCAAATTTTATTTAATAATGTGAAAAATTAAATTATTATTTAGTCAAAATTGACAAACTTTTACACTTTCAAAATAAAAAACTCATGAAAAAGAAAATCAAACTTCCTTTCTCGACTGACGATTTCTCGTGACGAGATGATAATGCAAAATTTTCACAAATATTGGATGGGTCGACCCATCAGAGAATCCCGTCATATGATAAAAATTCAAATGGTTGATTGGAGAAAACTGAGAATAAAAAAAGAAAAAATTGTGGTCTTGGCACCAACTGCCATAGAAGGCAAATGACATTAGTAGGATGGACTGCCATAGAAAGCAAATGACATTAGAAAGATGGACTGCCATAAAATAGATGTGGATTCTGCCATATAGAAGCACAGACTGCCATAAGAAGTGCATAAACTAGCTTCATCCATCACCCGTCTCCTAATCCACCTCCATCTCCATACCTGAAAGGTATCTCCTCACATCAATGGGATCGAAGACATTGGTCAACTAAAGGTATTATTTAATCATTTGTAAACTCTCTCTCAAAAATCTCAGTATTTAGAGGTGTACATAGTTAAATATCAATATAACAATACATTATCCTTTATGTATTTCTTTATTATATCCATTAAACTTTAATTTGTTATTTGTAAACCTGTCTGTTCACTGGTTCTTATACAGACATCAGACCCCAATCGACTTATCCACAACCTACCCATTCACATCACAAGAACCTCCTAATAGCCACCCGCTGACCTAGTGAGCAGGTCTCAACAACTCAACGACTATCAAGGATTAGAGTACCTCTAAACCTCATCCATATTCTAACATTATTATGATAATGTATATTTAAATCTGAATTATAATACTGCATTATGAGTTTAATTTGAAAAACATTCATTCACACTTAAAAATACATATTTTATAAAACTACTACTACTAACAACAGTTTAAAATTTTCAATCTTTATATATTTTTAATTCTATAATTTTATTTGTTGTTACATATGATAATACATGTCACACACTAAACAATAAATAAAGTAATTAAAAAAAATCAAATATATGGTTAAATTTTATTCTGTTATTTCTCTTTACAGAAATATCTTTATAAAGATAAGTATTGAGGAACATCACTTACTTGTAACGTGTACCTATTTTTAAAACAATTAGTTACTAATTCTCCTTTTGACATGTTATATAACCAATGAAGCTTACGTCCACTATGTTGGCTACTGTAAAACATGGTAAACCTTTGAACACTTCTCTCTAACTAAAAATATATAACATTTTTGGATCACATTGATTTTAAATATACATTAAATAAACATTTTGAATTAAAATCTTAACTTACTTCTTGCGGAAGTGCAAATGTAAACGACTGTTGAAATGGCCAAGATCCTGAGCTTAACACCTGTATGCTAAAATCCACTGAAAAATAATAATAATAATAATAATAATAATAATAATAATAGTCATTCACTTTTTATTAAAATTAGTAAATCTGATAAATATGAAAATTTATTTACAGTCTAATGGTTCATTTGAGTTGGCTAAATGATTCTTGAACTGCTCATTTAGGTCTTTGCTAACTCCAATATCCTGAAACATCCTCTGTAACTTTGACGTATATTCAAAACCACATGCTTGCTATTTGGAATTTATCACTTATTAAGATCAAAACAAGAAATACTTCATTAAAATGTAAAGTGCTTTTCTTACTTTCAATTTGGAAATCATACTGGCTTCTGCATCATCACTAGCTGACATATGCTGAACTAACCTCTTAGCAAGCATTTTACTATAAAATTTCTGGAAAACATCTTTATCTTCTATATACTTGAAAACTATCATCTGTATAAAAAACTTTCTATTACTCATCTCAAAACTTAACAGTAATATAAATATGTTTTTATGCTTTCAATCAAAAATAAACAGATGTGTCTATTTTTCAAACCCTCGATGCATGTCATCAATAGTATATTGAATGTTTTGTTTCATTCTTAATTTAATATTTNTTTTTTTTTACCACCAGAGGAATTAGTTATATTTTTACTCTCCAACTTCATTTTAAACTGTATTGTCATTACATATTTTGACAGTTGATATTTCAAGGCTTATTTATAAAAAATTTTGTTTGATTTGGTGCAATTGTTTTTTTTGGTGTCACATCAAATGTGGAGAATCAAAAGCAGCATTTTTGGCATATTTTGTTTTTTTATCATCAAAAAGGCAAAAATGCTCTTCAAGCAAGAAAAAAATTGTGTGCCATGTATGGAGATGATGTGCTGACAGAATGACAGTGCCAAAACCAGATCGCAAAATTTTGTTCCGGCAATTTCAATATTGAAGATGCGCCACATTCTGGAAGGCCAGTTGCAGCTGATGAAGACAAAATAAAAATATTGATTAAAATAAACCACCGAATAACAACATGAGAAATTGCTAAGAGATTAAATTTGTCAAATTCAACCATTTATGATCACTTGACTTGGTTTAGTTTCAAAGCTCGATATATGGGTTCCACATGTTCTTAAGATTTGCTCCAATGCATTGACACCTGTAATTTGCTTCTCAAACATCAAGAAAATGATCCACTTTTGAAGCAAATCATAACTGGCAACAAGAAATGGATTGTTTATAACAATGTCAAACACAAGCGATCATGGAGTAGAAGAGATGAGCCTGCTCAAAGCAGTTCGAAAGCAGATATTCGTAAAAACAAAAAAGTGATGCTCTCTGGTGGGATTTTAAGGAAATTGTTTTTTTCGAGCTTCTACCAGACAATTCCACAATTGATTCAAAAGTGTACTGCCGTCAACTGGAAAAATTGGATGATACCATCAAACAGAAAAGGACAGAATTGATCAACAGAAAAGGTATAGTGTTTCACCACGATAATGCCAAACCTCAAACAAGTTTGGTAACTTGTCAGAAACTGTTACAGCTTGGATGGGATGGGCAACCACACCCATATATTTGCTAGATCTGGCACCCTCAGATTATTACTTGTTCTGGTCTTTACAAAATTTTTTAAACAGTAAAACATTTACTTCAAATGAAGATGTCAAAAATCACTTGGATCAGTTTTCTGTAAGCAAAGATCAAAACTTTTATGAATGTGCAATCATGTTACTACCAGAAAGATTGCAACAGGTATTGGACAAAAAGGGTCAATATATAATTAATAGTGCAACGAATATTCGGCTACTATTCGGTATTCGGCCAAATACCAAATATGTAATCACTATTCAGCCGAATACTGAATACCTAAAAAAAAGAGTAAGAAATAACAAAAACACAGTAAATTAATCATTTTGGTAACTTTTATTAATGCCGAACATACATTTCAAGTTCGAGAAAGTGCAATTTTTTTCTTATTTATGTAAAAGATCAAAGGAAAAGTAATATTACTAAGTTATTTTATTAAGAGATCAAAAAAAGGTAACAAATCAAATGAAAACGACCTACTTATTATGTAGTTTAGTCATCTATATACTTGTATATAAAAGAACACATCCTGATAGGATAATTAACGCAGAGCCAAAACTACTGGTGCCAGAAACTTAAAAATTTGAGGGTGTGTTCCTTTTGCAAAGTTTAGGCGTTCTAAAAAAAATTTTTATGAAATTCAACCCTAAAGGGATGAAAAGGGTAAAAAACTTGTATGAAAATTTTTACTGCATGGGCACATTAGACTGAAACTTAGGTCATAAAATGTGAAAATAATAATAATTAATGATCTGTAAAGTGTTTTTATGAAATCATCCCATATTATAAACATGAAAATTAAATTAATTTTTTTGTTTCATTGTAGAAAATTATTTATCATAACTGAAGTTCCAGACAGCTTGGTAGCCTGAATGGCCCCAGGCTTTCGCCTGTGCACGCTAAGTGACTTTCATTACAAGCATTTAGCTTTCCAAAATCTACAAGAACAATTATTTGGTATTGACGGCAGCAAATTTTGTGCCAATAAGCTGCCTTGACTCGTTCGATTATGTTATCGACTCAATTTCATATTTATTTTCACATTTTCACTTCACAGTCCTTCTCTGTTCTTCTTCTGTTATTTACATATGAAGGTCATTTCATTGTTATCCACATTTGATATCATCACTTATCACATACTGCCATGATGCTCGTGTCTGTCTGCTACAACTGTCAAGAATTAACGCGATTGGCGAAGCTTAGTGACAGCGGGCCAATAGAGCGTGCAATCTTTCCCATAATGTGGTTTGCACACCAATTTTTGTACGTGCGTTAATCAAGTTGAATAGTTTGGCCGAATATTCAGCTATTTGGCCATGCTCCTGGCCAAATATACTATTCATTGCATCACTAAATATATAATTCAATAAATTATTTATATATTATAACAAAATTTTTTCTCCCCATAAAAAAACACAAAATTTTTTTCCAAACAACCAATAGGTCAAACTTATGCTATTATGTTTATTTGTTTAATTATGGCAATGCAACACTTGGGCGATCTACCTAGGGGGAATGCCTTCCGGGAGGTCTATTTAAGGAAACTGACCCCTATTTAGATGTTACAGATGTGGAGAAAACCTGGAAAACTCCACATAGCCAGCTCGTCCGAGTGAGACGCAAACCCACGATGGAACTCCCAGAGTTCAGAGAACAAAGACCACTTGGCCACTGGTGGGCCTATGCTTTTACATTTTTATCTTAAACTCTCTTTAAGAGAGTAATATTCCTTATAATATGTAGTAGTATTTTCTTTAACTAGTCTATTTCCCATCAATCAAAAATGTCAAGAGATCAATATAATTTATGCAAAATACACACACACATATATATATATACATTAAGGACAGCTGCCATTTTGTCAGTGTCATAAATGAAGGGGTAGTTTATCACAGTAGGAATATATATCCATTCCTACTGTGATAAACTACCCCTTCATTTATGACACTGACAAAATGGCAGCTGTCCTTAATGTATTTAAGGATGGATCTAATTCATCACAGGTCAGCCAGCAAGAGAGAAAAAATCAACCACTTGTGATAAATTATAATAGGAAACGAACAATTATTAATTGTGACCATCATAATGCCAGGCAGCAATTTATAATCATATTTTTAATTTATTTAATTTAAAATATATGGCTCTTCATCTGAAATTATTATTACAGTCTTGCCCCTGTACATCACACTTTTCCTTTAACAATAGAGTCGTGCCATTCATCTGTTAACTACTTTCAGAGGAAATTTTTGAATTGAATCATGCGACTTCTGGTTTGCATCGGACATTCATATAGAGTATATTGAAGCCTCTAGCCCCTAAGGTTTCCATACCTGGTCTTGGATTTTATCTAATTCCATTCTCGAGACTAAGGAAAGACAGACAAACAAACGACAGGGGGGGGTTTTCGCCACATTCTGGAAGGCCAGTTGCAGCTGATGAAGACAAAATAAAAATATTGATTAAAATAAACCACCGAATAACAACATGAGAAATTGCTAAGAGATTA